GTTATCTCTCCTCTGCACTTGTTTTGCTGCCTTGTGGTATTTTATTTTAATTTTTGACAGGTTGAGAATGTGACACAGTCCCTGCTGTGGTCCCTGCATGCTGCAGCTACCTGGGCCTCTTTGATTGCTGATGGTTATGCTATCTCATTGCCCTCTGGTTCCTCCGAGACGTCCTTTGCCGTGATGGCTACCAAAATCGTGAAATTGGCAAGGCCTGTGTTGTGCTGAGCCCACTGCTCATGTGCTGTCCAGGATTGCCTCCTGGTTTCCTGGTTCTCTGCCTTCTTCCATGTTACTTTACACTTAGATTGTGTTTGGGCATCACCTAGCTCGTGGGTCCTGACCCACATGTAGGGCTCTGGGTTCTACCGTATGTGATGTATCATGTGCTGTTCTGTGTCTGTGCAGGGCCCGGTGGGGGTTGGGGATCTCCTGAGCCAAGACATGTAGACAATAGCCTGGCAGCTTCTCACTTGGCCGGGGGAAGGACTTTGAACAAAGGAAGGGGTGTGACTGCTTTGGGGAGTGAGTGACGGGTGGCTGGGAGAAGGGGCAGTTTGGGGGAGAAAGATGAGCAAGGCAGACTAAAGCCAGGAGAGGTAAGGCTGTCCACTCTCAGTGTACCCTGCTATCATCGCCTGTGTCCCGGAGAACCAATAAACCTCCTACTCTACTGGCTGACTGAGAGTCCCACCTGGCTGCGGATAGGGGTACAGAGTCGGGGGCTCCCCGATGCGTCATCACACCGTAGCACACTAATAAACAGTGATGTCATCCCTCGTTACCAAAGTGTTAGCCAAACATTCCGAGTCAGGTTGGCAATAGGTTGTTTGGATAGGAGAAGAAACAGGTGAGGGTCGAGTATTTCTTTGATGCAGTTTTGTTGATTGCCAAAGAACCGCATCCTGGTTTCCTGACCCCAGTGGGAAAAACACAGCTGGAGAAAACTCCTTTGTTCACTGTTCCAAGTCTTCTTCCAGGCAGACCTGAACCCAAAGAGCTTTTTCTCTTGACTTGCTTCTAGGGCCACATTATCAGCCTTCAGTTTCTGTCTGCGTGGCTTGAGCTTGCTTCTTCAGCTCATCCTCTCTCTTTCTCTTGCTCACACCCAAAATTTGAGTAAATCTTCCATCCGTATAATTCTAACTCATGAGTGAACTCACATTAAGGATGTTAAGTAGTGGTTAATTGACTAATCGAATAGTCGATGCATTTTTGCATCGACTATTCGATTAGACAGGGCGCCTTTGCCTTGGAAGTGACAGTGCTGCGTGGAGCCTGGGGTCAGCTGGGGACTCCCTCGCTGACCCTGGGCTCTAGGCGGCATTGCTGCTTTGAAATGCCTCAGGGTGCCCAACACCAGGCTCCCTGCAGCATTTCAAAGTGGCAGCGCCGCACGGAGCAGCTGAACTCGGGCTGCGTGCGACACTACCACTTTGAAGTACCCCCTTCTTCTCTCCCCCTCCCCCCATTGCTGCTTCAATCTGATAAAGACAGCAAGGGGGGGAAAGAGGGGCGACTAGTTGACTCAACTCGTCAACTATCTAGTCAACTATTGTGTTGACTAGTCCTTCACATCCCTAACTCACATATGCCTTTGTTTCAGGCAAGGGACTGATGAAACGTCTCTTGCCGCTGTCTGGAATGAAGCTTAGACACACCTGACAGTTTAACCCAATCCCCAACATTAACAGCTCAGAATCATTGTCTCTCTGTTCCCATGAGCTCCGTCTCTTCCATATATTAAGATTGTAAGTGGTTTGGGGGTAGTGATAGTTTTTTCCTTTCTGTGCATTAATTATATTTTCCTTTATATGCATGAATTTTTCATTATATACGTTAATAGTGCTTAGAGGGATCTGAACCCTGATGGAGCTGTTCCAGGCTACAATAATGCAAAATGAATAATCCTCAGAAGTTCAGCTAATAAAGAAGAACTTACAATATGCCCTGCTTCCCAAGCCTTGCAGATGCCTAATGTAATCTCATAATAAATGGATCTGATGAGGAAAGAGAACATGGTCATTGGTGAAGAGGGAGGAAGGAATAGATGATTTGAGGACCATGGAGCAATAACATTAAAGATCAGCGTATGACGTCTCTTGTGAGTCTGAATACTCCTGTTTGAATGACACAGCATTCTACAAGGAATCCCACAAAATGAGACGTGCATTTCCTGGTACAGCAGAAAATCAATCCCTCGAAGTTTCACCAACTGAAAATAGAAATTGACCCCTAAGAGAGACATGCATTGAAATAGAGGCAGACTATGAGATAAAACCCAACAAAAGTGCACATCTCAGTGTTAGTAATAATAAAGAAAGCTCTCCTGGTCTGCAGTGATTTTATCTAGATTGCTTCCGTGCCCTTTGTTGATTACAGCCTACGTATCTGATTTATACACCGGCAAGAGTAGAATTCTGTGCTGTTACCAACTGGGGTTATAGCAGTCGATATATTTTACACTGTGGTTCGTATTTACAATTATTGCAGGCTGAGTGATGTGAAATATAGTGGCTGGTGAGTGATGTCTGTTACTACTGGTTTTATTAAAACTGTCTATTTTTGTATTAAAAGTCCCAGTTGTGAAATAACCCCCAGAATGTAACCACGGTGCTGATGCTTGATTCTGCTTCCTGATAGGAGGAGGGCAGCGTCTGTCACCAGGTGGGGAAAAAGTTGTTAAACTAGAACCCAGGGCAGCTAAGTTGGTTGCCTTACTCAGCCGTATTGAAGCCATGGGGACAGCAGGATTTAGCTTGGTGGTTGTGACTGTGTAGCAGTAATTCCTAGGACAAGCCCCTAAGAGAGCAGCGCAGATTGAAATTTGGAAAGGCAAGAGAATTGAGGTGCATTTCTTATCTCTAAAGTACTCTGCACCTTGAAGAGGCTGGAGATGTAGGGTACGTCTAAACTACATGGCTCCATAAACGGAGCCATGTAGATTTGTTGTTTTGGCAAAGGCAAATGAAGCCGCGATTTAAATGATCGCGGCTTAATTTAAATTTACATGGCTGCCGCGCTGAGCCGACAAACAGCTGATCAGCTGTTTGTCGGCTCAGCGTGTTGTCAGAGGCATGTAGATTAGACACATAGGCAAAGGCAAATGAAGCCGCGATTTAAATGATCGCGGCTTCATTTAAATTTACATGGCTGCCGCGTTGAACCGACAAACAGCTGATCAGCTGTTTGTCGGTTCAACGCGGCAGCCATGTAAATTTAAATGAAGCCGCGATCATTTAAATCGCGGCTTCATTTGCCTTTGCCTATGTGTCTAATCTACATGCCTCTGACAACAGAGGCATGTAGTCTAGACACAGCCGTAGATACCAGCAGCTGCTAGTTTTTTCCCTTCCTCACAAATTCCCCATGGGGAGGGGGTTTCTCCACCCAAGGAGCTGCTTTGTGTCCTGTCTGACGCTTGGAAGGTGGATCCCATTTGCAAGAACCCTTTCTGGCTCATACACAGGCAGCTTGTTGGATTCCAGCTCATTGGAGTTTGATCCTGACTTTGCTCTGTGCACGGTGCCCTTTAGGTCTGCACCCCACCTCCCCCTTGCTCTGTCAGTGTGCATCCGTGATGTGTACCACAGCCTTGCTCTGTGCTCATGTACCCCTGTGCTCATGTGCCCAAAGTCTGTGCTCCCTTCTCCGAGTCCGGCTGCATACTGAACCCACAGGTGCCTTCTGTGTTTCCCTTGCTCTGCTTCTTCTAAATCTTTTTATCCCTGTCACACCAGGCTTTTAACCATGCTAAGAAGTAGAAGGAGCTCACTCGCAATCTAGACGTAGCCTGAAAGCCTCTTTCGAAAGAGAGCGTCTAGACTACAACCAGTACGCGAAAAAGCAAGCCGCTTTTTCGAAAGAGAGCACCCAGGTAGTCTGGATGCTCTCTTTCGAAAAAGCGCAGTTTGCATTACCACCTTTTTTCGAAAGAGCACTTTCGAAAAAAGGCGTTATTTCTCGTAAAACGAGGTTTTCCGCGGTCAAAAAAGCTGCTGTGTTCTTTTGATTTCTTTCGAAAGAATGCGGCAGCAGTCTAGACGCAGGGGAAGTATTTTCGAAAAAAGGCCACTCTTTAAAAAAAAAAAACTTGTAGTCTAGACTGTACCCTCAGATTTGGCATAGAAGCATGGCATTTTTGTAGGTCCTACTAAAAGAGCAGCTGTTGCATTTGCTTTATATTGTGTGTGCAGGGAAAACTCCAGTCGTTTGCAATCTGGAGGCTTTTGCTGTTTTATCATTCTGATCTGAAATTAGATCACAATCTGGACCCGGAAACGGGTCTTGCTTTCTTGCAGGCAGATTTCAGAGCCTGTGCTAACTCCAGCTTGCGTTTCTGATAGCTGATCTGCCCTTAATCACTCCTGCTCTCCCGAGAACAAAGCCCTAATTTAAAACAGATGAGAGATAATGTGAGAATTTCCGGAGTATAGAAAGCAAAGGCTTTCGTCAGATGAATAGAAAGCAGACAAGTTACGTGTTCCACATCTGTTCTTGTGCCGTGCGCTGCCTCTTTTCAGAGATGGTAGGGAAAAGATGATGGAGAGATGCTATCTGGGCTACCCAGAGCATTGATGACCGTGTCATTTTAATAGTAAATCACTGCCTCATCTGTTTTTCTCCCCTTCCTGCCACCCAACTGAGAGAGACATTCAGGGGAGAGGGAGACAGCAGCACTGTGTGAAGTTGCCACACAGTTGAGGGTTCTCTGGACTCTCCCAATTTCTGGTAAAGAGGTGATTTAGTTTATCCTGTGCCAGCAGGGTGTGAGAGGTCACTGCACAGACCCGATCAGCTGGGTGGGCATGGAGCGTGGAATCCCGAATGCTAGTCATATTGCAAACCTGCTCTCTCTAGCCCTCTTCTTGCGGTGAGAAGTGTGTGTGTGTCTCCAGACTGGGGTGGGGAGGGGCGGGCGGATGGGACCTCTGACTATTGGAAAGTTAGTGCCTGGGTACTTGACCATCTGCTGAGATGAAACTGACGTGATTTTGCAGGGTAACAGACAGCACCAAAGATGTCGTGTTCTCTCTGCATGGGGGAGAGATGTGAACTGTGAGCTCCTGTCTACCCGTCTGGTTGCTGTGCAAGGTGAGCTGGTGCTTTGCTTCTATCAGCATTTTTAAACAAGGTGTTTGGTTTTTCTCAGCCGGGAAGGGGGGGCTGTAAACAAGAGCCATGCAGAGAGGATGAAAAGGTGCAGCTCTCCGCCACATCCCAGGCCATAACACTGCGTTTCCCAGCGCTCTGTTTCCTTTTGGACGGAAGGATCCACCCCGCAGGATGGCCAGCAACCCCCGAGCCACCTCCACGGTCAAGCCCCGCCTGGCACTGGCAGTGGAGGGACTGGGAGTATTTAGAGTGAGCCTGACCCAGAACCCAGTGACGCCAATGGCAAAGCTCCTCAGACTGGCTGGCTTCTTGCCCTTCTCCACCC